CATACGTCTGTTAGTCTATAAGCCACAGGACTCTTTGTCACTTTTTACAGAACCAGACTAACACGGCTCCCCCTCTGATACTTGACATTTTAGATGGTTCACTACCTGATTTTTAAATGCAAACATCCATTAAAAAGAATCATTCTTCGATATTAATTGAAATGGTTAATGTTATGGAAGTTTCTATGGGGCACCATTGGTCCTGTGGATAGGGCAGTCGACTGGAACTCAGAAGACTTCTGTTGTATTTCTGACTCCGCCACCGACCGACTGTGTGATTTTGGGCAAATCACTTCACCTCCCACCCTTTGGTTGCCTTGCCTATTTCTTACCTGACACTGCAAACACTTACAGACATGCTTAACTTTACTGCTGTGAGTACTCTTACTGGAGTTAACAGGACTAGTAAAAATAGTTAAGTTAAAGCACAGGGATAAGTAATTGCAGGATCAAGGCCTAAGACTGTTAGCTCTTTCTTTGTGTTTGAATAGCGCCTAACATGTTTGTGGCCAGAGGCGGCTCTAGGCACCAGCAAAGCAAGCACGTGCTTGGGGCAGCCAATTTGCAGGGGCGGCAGGGATCCAGCATGGGAGCTGAGAACCAACAGGGGGCCCTGGGAGCTGTAGTTCCTTGGTTAGATCCCTGCCTATAAAGCCAGCCCTGGAGCAGGGAAAGAACTACATTTCCCAGCATTCCCTTGGCCACTACCAACAGGAAAGAGGGGGAGAGAGTGAGGAAGCTGAGACCTCGTGCTGCAGCCTGCTATGAATGGAGAGCTGCACTGGGAAGGGCAGGGATACCATATTTTAACTTTCAAAAAATAGGACACTTCCTGGGGAGGGAGGGTAGCCCCACCCAGCCACCATCCACTCCCTCCGACTGCCTTCCACAGAAACCCCAACCCATCCAACCCCCCTGCTCCCTGTCCCCTGATCACCCCCTCCCGGGACCCCTGCCCCAACTGCCCCCAGGATCCCACACCCATCTAAGCCCCACTGGTCCTTGTCCCCTGATTGCCCCCTCCCGGGACCCCACCCCCAACTGCCCCCAGGATCCCACACCCATCTAAGCCCCACTGGTCCTTGTCCCCTGATTGCCCCCTCCCGGGACCCCACCCCCCTGCCCCCAGGATCCCACACCCATCTAAGCCCCACT